GGCTCTCTCATAATTCTGCCCAAAAACACTGCCATGAATAAAGAATGGTATCAAAACATCTTGCAAGAGCGACTTCTTCCAACGAATTTGGCCCAGAAGCTAATATCCAGCATGCCAGAGCGAATTGCAGAGGTTATGAAGAACAAGAGTCAACACTGTAAATATTTACTCATTATATTTTTTTGCCAATAAAAGCCTTTAAAACTTATTGTATGCTTATCATTGTTTTTCAGTATACCATAGAAACATGTGGAAAAATAATCTACAAATACTGAAGCAGCAAACTTTGCAAAACACAAAATGTATGTCACTGACAATACTTTTGGCCATGACTGTATATGAAGATTTTATATGGTTTTATATGTTGCAGTATGTCAACAATATATATTTTATATATGCAACATATATGCAAAAAAAATCTGTGTTCATATGTTTTTGAAAAAATTGTTAAAATATGTGCCTTTATATTTATTGAGGGGTTTTAGGATAGATATACATGTGCGTGACATATATGTCCAATACATATTTTTATGAGATAGATATGTTAATATGAATATTTTTCATAATTATATGTTTTACTTAATATGACAATATATATCATGTATGGAAATTAAATAGCCTAAACATATATTTGCATATTGAAGCTTAACTGTCCTGAATGTACTGCTTGTTTCTTGCTCAAGTAACTGTGGGTTTCGGGGGTTTCGGTTTTCTTTTACCTACATGCTGTACATTTTTTAGTATCCAAAAAGTTTGTATTCAGCAGATAGCGTTTCTTAAAGTGAATGCATCTTTCACTTTCAATATTAATCGTTGATGACAGCTGCGAGTAGGGAGCAGATTTGGTAGGTAGCTATTGGTACAGCTCAGCTGTTCTGAATGTACTGCATGCTTCTAGCTCAAGTAATTGGGGTTCCCCTCTGCTGAAGCTTTCACTTTTCTCCACACCCCCCTCCCCCTTGTCTTTGTATTCTTTTATTCTTTGCAAAGAGAGTCAACAAACATACAGCACCCGTGCTACTGTAGTTACTTACTACAGTTGTGACTGTAGAAAGGAACTATCTACTCTCAGAAGATTTCGAGAAAAACAGACGTGTGAGAGTAAAGTGTCAACAGTAACTAGTTAAAACCAGTTCTTTCTAGCCCAGCGGTTAAGATGCTCAGGATGTAGGCTACTATGTGCAAGAAAATTAAAATTCCATAAAAGGCACTTCAAAAGCATTTCATATGCAGTCTAGTTGGAGATGAATTAAGCAAAGTAAATGTCCATCACAGTCGGTATTGGTTCTCAACGTTTGTTACAGATTTTTTTCTTTTACACTTTTGCTGAAATGATTTTCAAGCTTCTGATATGTCTGTACCATCCTCTAGCAGCCTACTAAAAGTGCTCGAGCAGCGTACTGTTGCTATAGTAGGCTATCTTCCTGAAGCGAAAGCGACCTGGCCAGCGTTAAATAGGCTACACCAGATTAAATTGGGTCTAAAATATATATTCGCTTAGGATCACCTGACACATTTCCAGGGCACAAATAAGAACAAAAGGTTAATTTTGTTTGTTAAACGTTTAAATGTAATGGTGATGAATTTTAAAGATATTCTGTGGATGTCTAAGCAGTTCACTGAGGCCCCCAAGTGGACAGTGGCTCACTGGTTGAAAACCACTGTTGTAATGTCAATAAAAACCACTTGGTGGAGATTGTGAGTAGGCTTTATCCTACAACTCCAGGCTGCTCACTCGCACTAGATTCATTAACGCTGGACGAGACGCGCAGCTGACATTTATTCTACTATTCTCATTTTCCCATCCCGACACTATACGTGAGTATTTTTTGAAAACATAACCTTTTATGTAATTAATATTGTATATCTTATTCTGAATATTTCGGTTATACATCTCACACGACTGAAGATTGGAGACTGAATGAGAAGTTTAAATAGACAGTCATAAGTTGTCTCTGAATTTCTTTTCAAATGTTTTAATATCACGGTCAGTTTGAATGTTTTGGTGTGTCATGTGTAACGGATTTTCTGTTAGCAGTTTGTGTATTAATGCAGTAATGGTGAACAGAGTTTACAATTGTCGCTTTTTCAACTGTCCTAAAACTCTATTTCACTTTACTAGTTTGGATTTAATTTCCTGTTCATAGTTTACTTCTATAAAACATTATGAAAACATTTCAAGTGTTGTTTATTCTCCCACTCATTGTCATGATTTCGCTTTCAGTTTATAAAAATGTGATCCTTGAGCTGTTATTATCAGTCAGGATAAGGAGTGTTTACAATGTCCTATTGCTCATAGTCCTCAAAATAATTTACTTGTTAGTTTTGTTCAGGGTTATGAAAAAGCCCGTTTTCCTCGCCTGCACAAAGTCTGTCTATGGTTTTTTAGGGAGCTCTCTTTTTGAGGATTGGTTAATTCACTGGTTATGAACTGTAATATGAGATCTGTCGAATGTAGGTCAGGTCGGTTTACAACTGTAAGTGATTTGGCAAGAGAATTGAAATAGACTTTTTCTGTTTGGAGGGGAATAGGAATTTGATTGACACATTAACTGTGCAGTTTGAGTCTGTCTTTGCCTACAAATTAGGTTCTATGATTTTGATGATTGGATTAAAGGGATAGTTCACCCAAAAATAAACATTCTGTCATTACTTACTCACCCTCAAGTTGTCCAAACCTGTATGTTTCTTTCTTCTGTTGAGAATGTGGGTAACCAAACAGTTGCTGGTCCCCATTGTCATTTATCCATAGTATGGAAAAATATACAATGGATATTGATGGTGACCAGAAACTGTTACGTTACCAGTATTCTTAAAAATATCTTGATGTTCAGCAGAAGAAAGAAATTCATACAGGTTTGGAACAACTTGAGGTTGAGTGAATGATGAAAGATCTTTCATTTTTGGGTGAACTATCCCTTAAGTTGAACTACAAATCAGTAACCTAAGTTACAAAATAATGCATCAATAGCCTAATAACAGTAATACATTTTACTTTTAATACTTTACTGATTAATTTATACAGTAGCGAAGTTGGATTTAGAGTCAAATTTGTGTGCACAAGCAACGTGCATGCAACATAACTAATCTGAGTTTCGCTAGAGTAACGTCTAAACAATAACACTTTCTTTTGAGTGTACAGTTCCAGTTTGCCCTCATTCCATTAGGTGATGTGTCAAATGAACATCGGTTCCTCCTTGTTGTTAAAGTGTTATTGTTTTTTAAAACCATAGTCATCATTCATCATAAAACCCGTCAATTTTAATAACCTCTCTGGGCCATTTTAGTAGCTTGCACAGCCCACTTTAACACGACTGGTGGCATCAAGTTGGTCTTTGTGTTCAGGTGGAGAGATTAACCGTCCTAATGAATGTACGCCTTGTTTCTGCCTGAAGTAACTGACTAGGCCGTTGGCCCCTGTGGGCTTCCCCTTATTTGGGGTTTCACTTTTCTTTTTCCGCATGCTGTGAGGAGTGAGAGACTGTTTATTCTCTCAAGAGGGGACACTCTGCACCCCTTCATGCCAGCCCGCTTGATGGTTACCATAGCAACCTTTTTGGCATGCGCAAGTTCAAATGAAGTTGTCGTGGAAATGACAAAGACTAGAAGGTCTTGAATCATTGGCTTTAGGCTTCATTTTGTAGCTTAACCGATTGCAAGTAAGCTCAATTACATTATATAAAGCATACTTGCTCAATCAGCAAAGATGTTTGTATTTTTAATAATAGACTCCATGACACTTGTGCACTTCTATGTTTACTTTGGATGGTAAAGTTGCCGCACCTCTAGGGATGTCATTGGTTTGGTGGTTACTTCAAGGCTACAGTGGGCTCCTGAGTGTGCAGAGTTTCTCCTTTTGTTCGATTTGAAAAGCGTGGCTGAAAGCTGCCATTGTCGTGGTGGGTAATTAAAGCTGGTTCTATCTCTGTGAGTGTGGGGGAGGGTGGTTGGAGAGTGAGGTGTGAACTAGAGCCCCAGTGTACACTGGGTAGATGAACTGAATGCTGATGAACTTCAGAATGAGTGTTGAGCCTGCCTTTCCTCAAAGGATAATTGTAATTGCTTTTAAGATACTCTCAAACAAGTAATTGCTTTTAAGATTCTCTCATTTGCTTTTCAGGTGATTTAAGGTGATTTTGTTATTTCTGCTAAAGCAATTTCGGCAATGAAAGAGATAAGATAAACTACTACTGATAAACAGGTCCTGTTAAATATATATTGCCATGTCTCTCCCTGTGGTGGTGTGCTGGCCTGATTCAAATTTTAGTGCATTGTGACACACTTTTTATCTGTCTGACTGAGCTCGGATAAGTTACATGTGTGTTGACATAATAGCTGTGACCTTCATATGTGGTACATCAGCTCAATGCTGACCTTGATCAGAAGCACAACAGTGCTTTCATCAAGGTTGAATTTGTTTACAACCCTTTATGTTTGTCTAATGTAAGACATAGTACAGACATTCGGAAATTCACTTAAGGTAAAAAATAAGGCCTTGTTTCACTCTGCAGAATGAGGAGGAAGTGTAGGTAATTTGATTCCACAGACTTCTGTTGCATGGGACATATCAGCATCTGAAAAAGACATTACAATCTCTCCCATGGTAGAAAAATAGGAGAGATTTTTAATTGAGCTGGTTGGCCTCTGCTCAGCAGCACTGTGATTCTCTCTTCAAAACTAAATTGAAACAAGCAAGTTAAACACGTTTTAAATTGCATTCCTGTCTCACAAGATTAGTTCTTCATGAACTGATGAAAAACCAGAAGTTCATGTAAGTTTACTTGTTAAGTTTGAATAAAATGCTTTTCTTTCTGTTACACAACTTGAAGAAAAAAAAAAAGAAAAAAAAAAAATATATATATATAGAAAAGAAACAGCCTGAAACGAAGACAGGGACAGTTTTTGATTAATTCAGCTGTATTTACTCAGTGCAACTTATAATATTCAAGTGAAAGATGTAACACCAACATGTCAGAAAAAAACAAACAAACAAAACAAAACAGAAGTTGGAAAAAGGATAACCCCCCCTCCTAAAAATTACTTGTAAACTCAATCAGGTGTAGCTAATCACCTTCTCAATGGCACACAAAGCCATTTGATTTCAACTGTGATCAGTTGTGATCAGTTTCAGTCCTAGGTAGTGCAACTGAAGCAAACAATCAACTATGAATGGCAAGGCACTGTCAAAAGATCTCTGGGATAAAGTTGTGGACAGGCACAAGTCAGGAGATGGATACAAAAAAAAAAATCTTTAATTTTTTTTTTTTTATCAATGCCTAGAAGCACAGTGAAGTCTATTATTAAGAAGTGGATGGTATATGGTACAACACAGAACCAGGGTGATTCTTTTCTATACCCACTGTGTATATCTTCAATGTGTATGTCTTCAATGTCACATGATCCTTCAGAAATCAGACTAATGTAAAACATTTATCATTATCAATTTTGATAACAGTTGTGCTGCTTAATATTTTTATCAGGATTCTTTGATGAATAGAAAGTACAAAGAACAGCATTTACATGAAATAGAAATCTTTTGTAACTGTATAAGACTTTACTCTTTCCCCTTTGATCAGTTTAATGCATAAGCCCCCATAAAATTTTCTGCTGCTTATAGTTTATTGATACTCCCAGTCAAAGGTGATATTTCACTGTAAAACATTTAGCCAGGGTTTAAGAGGTTCTTCAGATGTAGTATCTCTTGTATAGTATCTCTTTGCTCCAGCAATAGTGTTTTCTTCATCTGTGACCTGATCTGCTTTGTGGTGTTGCTCTATATCTGTTTATCATCACTCACAATTCTTTCGCCTCTCTGAGGTCACTGATGTGCCAAAGTGCACCATGCTGCACACCAACAGGCCCACAAATAGCACGAGAAGCCTGCTAATACTAACCTATTAATGATAGCTGGAATGTGGATCATCTTCAAAAAACTGTGGCAACAGCCATCACGCAGTCCAGAGGAGAGTATTGATTGATCCTGTGGAATTTAGATATGTGTACTCCATAGATTTTTCTGATGATGACAGCATGCTCTGTCTGAAAGCAATTGGGAGCAATATTGAATATTTAAACTGTAGCAAACATGTATTGCATATTAGTCTGTGTGCATGATGAAAACTATCTTTGTTTACAGATTCTGTTTTTTTCAGAATCTGATCAACTCTCATCACTAATCCTACAAAAAAAGTTATTGTAATTCTTACAGCTGTCTGTTCATTTCACTGAATTAAACATTGTTATGCTGCCCACTTGCCTTTTCTCTTAATCAGTGTCATGCATCATATACACTGATCCTTAATTTACTGCTGTTTCCCTGTTTTGGGTTTTTACAGGTCAACAAAATGGGGAAAGGATGCATTGCTGCCACCAAGTACTTCCTGTTTCTCTTCAACTTAATCTTCTTTGTAAGTTTCACTTTTTAGTTTTTAAAGAACAAGTTTAGTTGTTTCAATAATTTGACCTAGTAAACTGTTAATATAGGTTAATGTTAATTTTTCAATATTCTATTGTTCATTTATATTATTTTCAAACACATTAATATGTAAAAATTAACATTACAGAAAATAACAAACAATCAAGTTGATCCTTATTATAAAGTGTTACTGCATTAGGTATGGGCAAACTGTTCTTGGAAGGTTTTTGAAACATTCTACCAATCCTTTTCCCAAGCCTGTTTCTTTTTTATAAATTATGCTCTTTAGCTCACTCACAGCTGATGTCCCAGTTTTCTTAACATTAGTTTAACACTGATATTCATTGAATCAGGTCTCACATTCATTGATGAAAAAACACGTTTATTAGTTGTAGTTGCACCATAGCAGTCTTGCACCTCTGTCACAAGAATGCACTCTAGTTATGATCCAGATTAAGTGTTTTCCATTTGTTACCCAGACAGTTTACTCTTCTCCATCTCAGAGAGAAACAGCCTACTCTCCCTTGTGATCCTTGGGCTTGTTCCATGTAGGAAAAAATTGAAATCTCTGATCCAAGTTTATTCTCTGCAGGCCTTGGTGCTCAGGCTCAAAGAGCGCAGGAAGAGCCCAATGATTAATTCCAGCCATTTGTAACCCAACTTGTATACTTAAATACATGTTTAAATGAGCCCAGGAGTTTAAGGAAGTCAAATATATGACAAGAACATCAAGAGAAGAAGGTCTTATATTGGTGAAATTGGTGTGTTCTGATTGGCAGTTGTCATTTTCTTGTCTTTGCATTTACATTTATTCATTACAGTAGCAATTTTTTATTATTTATCCAAAGCGATTTACAAATGAGGAATGACACAAACAATGTGTTATAAGAGCCCACAATATTTGCAGTACACAGTTTACATTAGATTACTACACAGAAACGAAACACAGAGGAGAAAGAGAACAACGATTTAAAAAAAATATCTAAATAAATGCATTTTAGTAAAATACATTTCTATATGAATATTCTTTTTTAAATAATATTTTTAATATTATTTTAAATCATATATAACACATTGAAATATTATTAATTATTGTATTATTTATAATTTTAATATTTTGTCTGTTCATGTTTTTTTCCTGGCCTGATCAAACAATATTTTGATTTAAATAAAATAATCCTTCAAGGAAGTGTTGCTGGGTTTATCTTCATCGCTGTTTATTTCCACATTTCCATGCACTTTATTTGTGAAGTTGCACCAGAATAACTAAAGTATCTGTATCTGTATAAGTATCTGTAAAGTATCTAAATCATAAACCTTAGTCAAAATAGGCTTAAACAGCATTTTGACAAATTAAGGTACTTAATGTGAAATCGAGGAACGAACTGGCATGTTCATTTGGATTTTTTTTTTTTTTGGGAGATTGAAACAGCTTGCCAAATTGAGCTTTCTGGAAAAGATTGCTAACGGTTTACTGTTGCACAGGTTTTTCAAACCTAAAAACCTGACCCCCAATCCAAGAATGCAAAAGAACTTCACTGTGAGCATAATGGGGTCTTTAGTGCCCCACCATGCACCCCTAAACCTTGCACCCCATCATATGCCCTGGTGTTAGACATAAGGAGAGGAGATGGGGCGCTTGTCCGAGTGGGTTTAGGGAAGGCTGTGGTGTTCTTGAACTCATGGAACATCCGCTGAGCTCCCCCTCCCCTCCTGCCACTGCCACGCAGAAGCACAGCCCAATCAGTCCCAGATGTGAGCTGAGAGCAAAGCAGAATGAGTCTGGAACCCCACAGTTAGAAATGAGGTTCATAGCTTCCTACGGGCCTGGATTAGTGTGTTTGTTACATACTCGCGCACACGCAAGCACACAACCTTCCTGTCGTTCAGGGAGCACATTAATTCTAGAGTTTCCATCTTTAGCTCTGTCCAAGAGATTTGGAGTGAACAAGTTGCAGCTTGTAAACTGAAATGTGGGGCCCCTCGTTCCTTCTCCTATCCTGCAGCACATGATTAATTCTCTCCTTCTTTTTTCTTTCCTCTCTCTTCCTCTGCCCCCTGTCTATTCCTTTTTGTCTCTCGACAGATCTTCGGCGCTACAATTATGGGATTTGGACTGTGGATCCTCCTAGACAATCAGAGCCTCATTGCGGTGTTGCGTAAGTGTCTGCATAAAATGTGTGCAACTAAGAGAAAACCATAAAACATCATGCAGACGAACAAGAAGGAAAATGATGTTCCTAATAACCTAAATCTACTGGCCATTTTCTCTGGGATGGTTTGAAATACATTCACATTAATCTAAAAGGCTATTTAATGACCCATGGGAGAGTTCCTTTGCTGTTGGTTGGTTGGTTGAAGTAAAATCCAGAGGAAGTGATGAGAAGAGTTGGTCGTCAGTCTTGTCTTTTTATGCTCTTATTAGTGAAGTTTTATCCCGTTCTACCTTTGAATAAAACCTCCTGGGCTCATGCGCCAGTGACTCAGACCCACTTTTACAGGGGCCATCTGTCTCTCGTTTCATTTTGTTTGATGATCACCGTTAGTCTCGTCTTAAAGTGTATGATTCAGGCTTTTGGACAGATTGTCTGTGATGGGCTCTGTATTTTTCATCACCCCACCCCCTGCACACTTCTGATCTGTTTTCTATCCCAGAGGCCATTGCAGGGAGCTCTAGGTCACTGGGTCTGGGTCTTACAGACACTGCCAAACAAGCTAGAGCTACATGTTCACAGCTGGCTACGGATCAGCTATTGAGTTCACAGCTCTGTGGCGAGCCAGGCAGGGCCTGTGTGTGACATAGCATGTCTGAGGCAGTGTGCAGGTGCTCCCTCGCTGCCACACAGGGCTCTTTTAGCGACTGTCTCATTAGCATGCATCACGTCAATGCTCAGATCAGGCCTCTCGTTGCAGTAGTCATTGGAAAGAACAAATTAACACTAGTGAGCAAGTATATGCAAGGAGGGAAAAGAATGACCCTATATCTGCCTCTGACACTTAATTCTAAGTGGTCTTAATCTATACTGTAGTTCAAAAGTTTGGGAACGGGAAGATTTTTAAACTGTTTTTCAGAGAAGTCTCTTATGTTCCCCTAGGCTGCATTTATTAAATCAAAAATACAGTAAACGGTAATACTGTGAAATATAATTACAATTTAAAATAACTATTTTCTATTGAATATATTTAAAATGTAATTAATTCCTGTGATGGCGAAGCTAAATTGTCAGCATCATTACTCCAGTCTTCAGTGTCACATGATCCTTCAGAGATCATTCTAATATGCTGATTTGCTGCTCGAAACATTTCTTATTTTTATCAGTGTTGAAAATAGTTGTGCTGCTTTAGATTTTTGTGAAAACTGTGATACATTTTTTTCAGAATTATTTGATTATTGTTTAAGAAAGTTTAAAGAATAATAGTAAAGTTAATAAAGTTGATTTAAGAACACAGTTTGTTTGAAACAGAAATCTTTAGTAGCAATGTAAAAGTCATTACTGAGACTTTTGATTTAATGCAAATTTCTGAATTGTAAGTAATAATTTCTTAAAAAAAAAAAAAGCAACTTTTGATCAGTAGTGTTTCTCAAAGCCAGTGCCAACATAATTACTGACAAAAGTGGTCAATAATGAAGGGTTTTTGATTTCATCAATAAAAAAGCACATCATGAAGATTAATAAATGCTTGTAGTTAAAAAATACTGTTGACGAAAATATGGTAAAAGACAAATACAGCAAGAAATTAACTCTAACATCGTTTTGAAAAGGAAAATCCAAGAAAGAATATGAATGCTTTTAATAATCCTTCAAAAATGTTGTGGATTGACTCGCTTGAGTGGCACAAAATGAAACTGAACAGTGAATGTATGGTGGTTTAAATTTAATATATAAAATGTTTGAATATTTACCTTAATTTTGTTCTTTCTCATAGACTAAAATTAGAGGCCATTTTAATCCAAGTAAAATTGATTAAAATAAATGAATATGACATGACAAAAGTTTATTTTAGTCTGCAACATAAGGTTGTGTGAAAATGAACACTGCTTAAAATGCACTGAAAGTCAACCATTACAGTAGTTGACTTGGAAAGGTCACGGCATTTTAAAGGTTGTCTTGCAAAATGTAGTGTGTCTGACCCAAGACTTGAACCCAGTCTTAGTGGCTGCGCCATAAAAAGGTTTTTGTTTGATTGATTGTTCAGAGCAGAAAACTGATTTTAAAAAGCGCAGACTCACACCATAGCATGACACCAACGAATTTGCGAACCTCTTGTATTCCTCCTTTGCATGTCATAATTCATCTGACAGACACATTCCTGCAGTGCACAGCGGCTGCTGGATGTTTTTTGGGACTCCCAGCCATGCATACAAACAGTGAGCCCAATGGAAAAAAAACAAAACAAGTTTTCTAAACATCATTGCTTTTCTAATACAGATGCCAGTGGCCTTCACTGGCTCAACTGATCCCTAGAGGATTTTCCTGTTTCCGTTAGACACCATTAGGCACTTTACCAACATGGGATGGTTTGAGATTTACAGTACTGAAGCTACAAAGGCCTACACATTCAAAGCTGAAATGCAGACACATGTTTTATGCTTTTATTTGCAATGTCACTGCCCATTCTTGGGGTTTGGGCACTGGAGGGAATAACTGAAACAGAATTGTTGCGTTCATTGCAACTGGTTTCCTTAGCCAAATGCTTTGAACTTGGTTTCTGCTGAACATAGTGGTTGAACTTAAAAAGGCATTTGCTTTGTTAAGGAAAAAGGTATTGTTCTTTATTCTGCTATTGATTGTGGGTTTGTTATGGTGACAGAGAATTTTGATAATATTTACCACATGGCACAAAAGAACCGTGTCTCACTATTATTATTATTTTTTTAAATCATATTAAAAGCTGTTTACCAATAGTTAAGTCAAACATTTCAGAAAAGCCAACTGCTGTGAATCTTGTGAGAATTTTTTCGCAATGAACAGAATGGGCTGAAATGATTCCAAATAAGGTAACTCACTTCACATTGTTCCTTAGGATGCTGGATTTGCTTGCTTACTAAATGCAATCTGCTGGTTCTCAGTTTCCAGCTTTTGGGTTTCCCAGTATCCAGTTCTCTCTTAATCATGAATTACTAAATAGTCTAAATTATGTAAGATGTAGACAGAGCCTTCTCAACCGTGTGAAAAGATGAACTCATTCTGTTATTTGTGCTTTGACGCATGCTGTAATCATCAGAGTCGAGATGGTCATCTCATCTAAGTGCTTGGTTTCGTAATGATGATTACATCGGGTCACATGATGGACCATTGTATCCTCTGCACCCACAGTCACACAGACACTGTGGTATTGTTTGCAAGGCTGTCTGTGGTAATGTTGTTTTTGCTGGGGAGCCATTGAGGTATTTTGAGGTAGGATGATATGACAGAGGCTTTTCAGTCAATACACATGAAAGCCTGATTGAAGCAGGACCAGAACACAGTTGGAGAATGTGCTGCTGCTTTGAGGTGAAGCCACAGAATGTCTGAACCAACTGCGTACAGTGAGCATCGCCCGGTATTATAGGCCGTTATGTCTAAGTCAGGATTGCAAGGGAGACTTGCCAACCCCATCTCAACATTACACAATGCATATTCATGAGGACAACCCGAGACTGTAATTACTGGCTAGGGGTATTTGAGAACAAAATTAGTTTTTGGTGTGCAAACTGACCAGCAATAGTACATTGTATTAGGTAGAGTTGAAGTGATTGTGCTAAATGTAAAGCTCAACAGGCCATAAAAATAGTGTTAACACTTTAAAACAAGGTTTGATAAGGTTACATCATTTATTAATCTAGGTTAATGTTAATTTATGTATATATGTTATTATTTCTTGTAAACGTATGTTAATTTATACAACTTGAAATGTTAAAAATATAGTCTACTATTTAAAAGTTTGTGATCGTTAAGGTTTTTTTTTTTTTGCATGTTTTTAAAATAAGTCTCTTATGGTCACCAAGTTTACTGAGTTTACTTCAAAAATATAGAAAAAAGTGAAAAATTATTACAAAAGATTATTTTGAAAGATTAAATGAAATTTTAAATAATTGTTTTCTATTTTAATGGTTTAAAATGTAATTTATTCCTATGATGGTAAAGCTGAATTTTCATCAGACATTACTCCAGTCTTCAGTGTTACATGATTCATCAGAAATTATTCTAATATGCTGTTTTGGTGTTTCAAAAACATTTGATATTATTAATGTTGAAAACGGTTTTCTGCTTAGTATTCTTATCGAAACCATGGTACTTTTTCAGGATAGAAAGTTCAAAACAACAGCATTTATTTGAGATAGATTGTTACAAAACAATGTAAAAGTCTTTATTGTCACTTTTGAACAATTTAATGTCATTGCTGTATAAAAGGTAAAAGTCATTTCTTTTAAACAAAAAAAGTCGCACTGACCCCAGAAATGTATAAATTAGCATAAACCAAGATTAATAAATGCAAAAGTACTTTTCATTGCTATTTCATGTTAACTATTGAATTAACTATTGAATCACTGCTCATTAACACAATTATGATTAGTTTGTAACCAGGATTGTGTTTGTATTTCTCACTAACAGAGGATTCATCCATGGTCCTGAAGGTGGTCTCTTATATTCTGATTAGTGTGGGCTCATTCTCCATGCTTCTGGGATTTCTGGGCTGTCTGGGGGCCATCTATGAGATCCGCTGTTTGCTTGGATTGGTAAGACGCATAATTGCAACAATGTTTAGCACTGTTTTTACCATCTTTCCTAATTTAGTTGCTTTCCGTTTTTGTAAATCACATGCTTTTTCGCATGCAAACTCGGAAGTACAAAAGGAACTTCTGCTCTCATGTGTAAATTTGCTGTGCTGAGCGGTTTAATGTCACATGACCCGAGCAGACTGGCCTGAACCAGGCTGTGCAGTACATATGTGAGACTGACATATGTGGCGGGGCGTGCACATGGGTCTGTGATATCTTAATCCATTGTCTTTTTCTCTCTTTACAGTACTTCACTTGTCTATTGCTCATCCTCCTTGCTCAAGTGGCTGCTGCCATTCTCATCTTCTTCCAGCGGGACTGGGTGAGTGAGTCAGCGCTCTTATGTGGCTACCATAATAGTTCACTCAAAAAGGAAAATGTGATCATTTACTCACCCTCATATCGTTCTGAACCTGTATGACTTAATTTCTTCTGTGGAACACAAAACAACATATTTTGAAGAAGTGTTTTTGACAGAATTTTCATTATGATGATATAATGACAGAATTTTCATTTGTTGGTGCATCATCTCTTAAAGCCTGGCATCAAAACACTTTTTGAGGGCAAGACACTTAGGGCTTGTATGCATATTAAAATATTTTGGAAAAGTTGAGTTCAGATCTCTATGTGTTCCATTTGCCAGCTAGATTTCATTGTGAAGGTTTTGTTTAGATTTCTGGAACAGCTTGAAAAGAGGTCAAGAGAATCAGTGGCTGAAAATGAAAATATACTGCCCCCTATTGCATATACCAAAAAGTATGTGCATTTGAGGATAGCTGTTGTTGAACAGACCTTCACCATGATGACCCATGAGAAAAATAATCACATGTGTTAGACACAGGATGAGGACGAACGCACACATACACTTCTGCACCCTCCACCGAGGTCAGCCAGCAGCGAGTGTCTCTGAGGATGCTATAGGAAGCATCTGAGCAGGATATGCAGTAAATCATAAAGTATTTGGAGCAAGTAGATAATAGATGTTTTCCTTGTTGTATTTGTTTACCTGTCATCTTGGACATAATTACGAACCTGTTTGGAGAAAAGATGAGCATGCAGTTGAAGATTTGCTTCCAATACAAATGCAACACATGCTTCTCTTATGGGAAAAGATTTGTGCGAAACAAGTGTGTTTGAACTTCCATTTTAGTAGCTTAGTAACAATGGTTTCCTCAGTCAGCAAAGTGAGTCTCAGGTCAAATACCTGGGGCTGGAAAAATAAACCACTAACCCGCTTAACTCTCGTTGCAGTTGAGGAAGGAAGCAAACGAAATTGTGTCCCAAGTCGTGGTGAACTACCCTGGACAGAACAAAACCACAGAGCAGGCCTGGGACTACCTCCAGAGAACAGTGAGTTGAGAATGGGCGTAACTCATACATTGTCTTTAATTCAGACTAGAGACGTGTATTATATGTACTGTATGTATTTGAATGTATTTCCATGAAAACCACTCGGTTTCTATGGGAGGTTCAAGCTCTGGAATGCAGAAATGCTTGTTGGGTTGACAGTTTAGCCTTTCAGAACTGACATTAAGGCTGTTGACTGTTCATTTGCTTATTTAAAACACCATGTCAGTGACATCTCAAATAACGTAAATACATTTTTTTGCACTGGAAAAGTGTATTAGGCTGAATACTGCATACATTTTAATGAGAAATTAGTGGGTCGATGTGCTAATTATAAATGATTAAGATGTTAGTGGGTTGAATAATCCTGGTTCGTAGTCAAGCCAACATTGTAAAGTACTTCATGCCCTGTTGTTTCTTCTCTGTGTGTCTCAGATGCAGTGTTGTGGCTGGAATGGACGTGAGGACTGGGAGGCCAACCATATGATAAAGAATAATTCGCTGGATTTGTACCCATGCTCCTGCCACAATGCTTCCCTCCCACCACATAATATGGCTGATAGTGGCTTCTGTCAGGTCACATCTAATGATTGGCCCGTCTATGACACGGTATGGGAAATATTGGTTATCCATTAATCATTTTAATGTGATAAGTAAGTCTCAGTTTCTCCCTAGTTTTTTGTGTAATTCTTAAAGGGGTCATATGATGTTGCTAAAAAGAACATTATTTGGTGTATTTGGTGTAATGAAATGTGTTTATGCGGTTTAAGGTTAAAAAAACACATTATTTTCCACATACTGTACATTATTGTTTCTCCTCTATGCCCCGCCTTTCTGAAACGCATCAAATTTTACAAAGCTCATCGGTCTGAAAAGCGAGGTGTACGCTGATTGGCCAGCTATCCAGTGCGTTGTGATTGGCTGAATACCTTAAATACAACTTAACCACTGATTTCTAGTCGTGTCCTCTTTTGGAAGACCAAACTAAGTAGTTTCGCTTTCACAACAAAACACGGCGGGCTTGACTGAGCGGAGGCCTGGAGGGCTAGAGTGAGCGGAGGCGGCAGGCTTGAGAACGGCGCGGCCGGTGGATTCGACGATCTTCTTTATGCACCAAGAGCTTGTAACACTTCAAAGAGAAAGGAAAAATTGAAATCGCATCATATGACCCCTTTAACGTGTTGTTGAAGTGATAGTCCACCCAATGAAAATTTGGTTCCAAACCTGTATGACTTTCCTCCTTCTGTGGAACGCACGATAAGATATTCTGAAGAATATTAGTAACCAAACAGTTTTCATTCCAATTGACTTCCATTGTATGGCCAAAAAATATGATCAAATCAATGGGAACTGAAACTGTTTACCAAAATTCTTCAAAATATCTTCTCCTGTGTTCCTCTGAAGTAAGTCAGTCATACAGGTTTGGTATCATGACAATGAGTAAACAGATGAATTTGACAGATTACTTTTTATTTTGGGGTGGACTATCCTTTGATATGATAGATAAATACACAGTTTTGCTAAACACTGACTGTGGGCAAATTTATTACCAGTGCCTGGGAAAGATGACGGCTAACAAATTACATTTCACATACCTCTTTCCTTTATAAGTTTATGAATTTTGAGTTGCATAAATCTGGTAACGGGTCTAGTTCAGGTGAAAGATCTTATGACAGAGTGTTTTTCTGTCTTCATCAGGGCTGCCTGGGGAATGTGGAGAGCTGGCTCTTCACAAATTATGGAATTATTTTGGGAATCTGCCTTGGTGTGGCTGTCATTGAGGTATGTTGTATCTCCTCCGCCCTAGGCAGCATGAACACTACGCCTCTTCTTTACTAAGAAATGTTGGGGTGTTTATTATCAATGAAGTTGTGCAATGCACTCTAAGAAAGAAAACAAACAAAACTGTCGTTGGGGCGGTACCTTTTTAAAAGGTACTAATATGTATACTTGAGGTACTAGTATGTACCATTAAGGTACTTATATGTAACATTTAAGGGTGCATAAGGTACAAATATGAACCTTTTAGCTTTTGTATCTTAGGGTACCGACGCAATAACAGCTCTGTACTTTGTGTGAAATGTAACATCACAGTTTTCTGAAGAACAGATTGGACATTTCCATCTTGATCTCAGTGTAGTGACCATTGTTTGTTTTTACAGCTCCTTGGCATGATACTTTCTATGGGCCTTTGCAAGAGTGTACACCAAGAGGACTACACCAAAGTGCCAAAGTACTGAGGAGGAAACACGGACACTTGCACACAAATGTATTCAGTCCTTCCTTATTGACTTGGAACAACAGATCTTCCTCTTTTTCTACAGTATATACAGTGTTTCCAAAAGATAAACTTGAGGGATTATGTTTAGTCATGAGATTTCACTCTGTCAATAACACTATCCCCTGTGATATTTAATCAGATCTTTTTTAGTCCAGTTTGAATAGCCCATTATATGACAGTCTGAAGTGTAGAACATGAAAGGTGCCCACATAAATTAATGAAAAGCGTATGATGAGTCCTGGAGCCCATGAATGGTCTATTTATACAACAACACTCTTTAACACCCAGGCTGGTCTGTTTGCTTTGATATTTCTTCATTGTAGCGGCCCAGACTATGAGTTAACAGCCTATTAAACTTCGGTTTATGCTTTATAGACAACAGAAAAACCACAAAGGCCTGCTTTTGTTAAATCAAGGGACTTTTCTTTAGATTTTGTGGTATATATAGACTGACACAATTCCCACTCTGCCCTAGTGACATTTTGTCTGTCAAAGTTGTCTGTTTTATAGTCCATCATTTATGATTGTACATCATTGTTGTTTCAGATTGCTTTTGTTTATTTTTATTAGTGTGTATATATTTTAGATTTAATTTGCAGGTTGATTTTGTCAAGTCTAGAAAGTCAAACCTTTCTCTTTTTTTGTACAGGTGATAAATTGAGTCTTTTTTACATGCTTAATTTGAGCATATTTGTATGAGTATATTTGTAAGGAAGTACAATATAAAGCTATTCCTTTGATGATGTGAACCAAAATGAAGATTAGCCCCCAAAGTTGACTGCAGACTTGATTTTTTTTTATTGCATTGATCCTAATTTAACTGATTTTCTCTGGCACCACTACGACTTCAATTGTATACTTGCAATGACAAGTATAAATGAAAAAATGCTAACAATGTTTCCTGTCATGTTTAATAGTTATTTTGCATATGTAAAACTTTGAATTCTTAATAAAAGGTACACACTTATTTTAATGTTGCAAAAAAAGTTTGTTTTTTTTTAAATACAGGGAATACAGTCCCCTAGCAAGTAATAATGAAATGATAGAATATTGTAACTACATGTACCTTTCGCTGAATGTGTTATAATAAATAACTCACCCAGCCTATTTGCGCTCAGTGTTTTTATATACCATGTACTTTTGCCAGATCTTCACTAGGTGGCAGCACATCTGTTCTAGTTCATGTTAACTGGGAAGTGGTGGTCAGCAGTTAACCTTTAATTCAGAATGATTTGCTTAATAGGTAAGTAAATAAAAATATACCCTGTATTAGTAAACCATCAAAAATAATACATATACATATAGTAACATATTTCTTATCCTGCTTTTTGTTCATTTCTGCAGGCAAATGGTGGTCTTCCTCAAGGGGTCATCATGGTGGTCTGGTTCTCTTCTGTGTTTCAATGAAGTGTTAAATGACACAGTCCACCCTTTGTTCTCCCTCAACAATAGAGGGTTCATTGCCACCTGCTCGCCCCCTTCACAACCGACCTGCCTGCGAAGCTCCATCCTGTTTTCAGAAGACCATGACTTTCCAGAGTCTTGCCCAGCCGCCACACACATGGATACTCATGGTCAACTTGTCTTTTTTAAAGATGCATATGTCTAACGCTTTGGGGAAAAAAAAAAAACAATAATTCAACATAAATGCATAATTGCATATTATGAACTTTCTCACTGAAAACCTTCAGTAGCTTACATAGCAGTTTTTTTTTTACCTGAGCATTTAGATCTCCATTAATCTATGGTAATTCAGCTCAAAGAGGACATCGGATTCCTTTCCCATCCTTCCGGTAATGCTCTGCTCCTGGTCTCCAGAGCTACACTTTTACAATTATAATGGTGACGGACTGACGTTGGAGCTGAGCTGTCTTTTGTCAGAAGGCAGTCTGGAATATTGCTCTGATCATGTTCTGCCAGCCTGCCAAACAACAACAGCTGCTGCTCTTTGCTCTAATAGCGTTCATAGACAGCAGAATTATTTCATTGTGTAGCTATAGACAGTTGTTGAATGCTGACATTTCATGTAGTCTTGAAACTAAATTTTATAAGCAATATTTAGTCTCACATTCTCCAGTTGAGTTTGTAAATGTGATTTAGTTTTAAAAATGTTCCTAATGTTTATAAACACATAAAGAGAGAAATACTGGGTTACACTTTATTTGAAGGTGTGCATAAGACTGACATGACCCCTTCATAATCATGGCATGACACCTACATAATCATGACATGACACGTCATGAATATGAAGTTTTTTTTATGCATGTTTATGACAACTGTCATTAAGTGTCATTCCCTCAGTTATGTCATTTTTAATGCAAAGATGACATTGTTTGAGATGTCTTTGTTATGGGCTATGGTTAGGGGTAGGGTTAGGTCAAATAATGTCATATTTGCATTAAAAATGACATAACTGAGTGAATGACACTTAATGACAGTTGTCATAAACATGCATAAAACCTCCTTCATATTCATGACATGTGTCATGTCATGATTATGAAGGTGTCATGTCAGTCTTATGCACACCCCTTCAAGTAAAGTGTTACCA